GGAGGTTCTTGGGAACCGGCGATCGGGAAACCAAAGTTGGTTCCGGGTAAATCCCCGGGGCACTATGCCACAACTCCTACCAAGATCTACTGGGATACCAGGATAATATAATATCATCATATTTTCTTGCATCAACGAGTAAATCAAGAATCAACTTGTCTCGATTTTTGTTGATAGTTGATACTGTAGTCGTTAGATACGATAGCTATCATTTATTATATTATTAACTACAGTATCTACTCCAAGTGCGGGCAATTGACGCCCACTGGCACTAGAATGTTCGCGTTCACGGAACCTTCGTGAACGCGTTGGACGACAGAAGTAATGGAGTACTTCATGAAGCGCTCACGAGCTGAAGCAATTCGCTCGCGATAAGCTGTCGAGTCTTTGTTGAAGTTTTCAACAAACTGATTCCAGCTTTGACAGGGTGCCTGCCCCTCGGTCACTCTGCTTTGCCCCAAAGTTTTCTTCGAGCTCCAGTACCGGAGCTCGTGAAAAAGCGAGATATAATAATCTTGCCTTTGGTTCGTCGTCGGCTCGAAGTGCTTCATGGCAGCTTCAGCGTCGTCGACAATTCGATTGTCGACGTACAGCGGTATTGGGTTCGGAGCGACAATAGCCCCATATTGCTGTGATAACATTCTCAGACGGCATCCAAGGTTCGCGCACTGAGTCGTCAGTGCACGGGGCATCACGTTGATCCGAGGTGATGGCAAGTGCTTCCAGTCTGGAAGGCACTGCATCAATAACACTTCGTGGACGCTTCGAAGAAGAAGCGTCCGAATCATCTTCACGGGGGCGCGAGTCCCAGCCGCAGGCTTGGAGTCGTATGACTGGAAAGACGAGGTACCCTCGTCTTCAAGCTCTCCCTCCTCGTAGTCCACGGGGACACCACCGTCGGTCGAGAGGACCGACGAACCATCGAAGACAGTGTTAGGACTGGCTGTCTTCGCGGCCCCAGCGCGCTGCTTCGCCTCGAGCTCGAGCTTCTTCTCTTGGAGCTCGAAGTAGAGAAGTCCTTCTCTGTCGTTCCACTCAGAGGTGTCGGCGTTACCGCCGGCACACGCGCGGAAGCAGGCACCGACGCGGAGGTCGGTGCGGACGCGGGATCAGCCGCAGGCGTCGACACTGAGGTCGACGCGGACACTGGCGAAGACGCTGGTGTTCGCAGATAGGCGCTCATTGCGAAATGATCGCGGAGTTCTCTCGGATGAACGCGGAGTTCTCTCGGAGGCTTGACGGGCTCGTGTTGTGACCGGCACGTCAAATCTTAACGGGGGTGGTGTAACGGGGTTACACGAAACTCTAACCGTAACACTAATCGGTTAGAGTTAGAGGTTTCCCGTCTTGGTGTGTTCACACACCAAGACTGCATTTGAAGGGGAGGCTATTGGTAGAGTGCGCCACACCTCTACCAATCAGCAATGTGAATCACTGTCAGCCACCCGCTGACAGTCCCTTAAATATTTGATAAACAGTTTAGGGAGGAAACCCTTTAACGAGACAATACAGTTCTCTTTTTACGCTATCTTGTTCCTATCTTGTCTTACCGTACACACGCATCGTGTGTACGCTATACAACTTGGGAACACCTACGCTTCCTCCTACACGTGTGCACACGTGTAAGCTAACTAGTGAGCCCTAGGCCCACTACACTACGACTATGGGCTGGTGCAGACCAAGGCATGAGATGTCCAGCGCCTGGGTGCAGAGAAAGGATGACTGGCGGAACAGCACATCTGGCTTGGGGGTGCCCAGAAACAAAACGTTTTTGGTCGGAATTGCAGAAAATGTGGGGTATGGACAACGACGGATCAGAGGAGGCACAGAAGACGGCAGTGTCAGACATCTTTGGTTTGCAGTTAACGAGGCTACCAAACTGGCTGGCCACCTGGGGGAGTGAGACGGAACGGCTTAATTGGGGCGAACTGAGGAAAACAGTCCAAGAAATGTGAGGGGTCGGAGTGGCGACTATAGTGACCGCGATCTGGCGGTGGGACGTGGATCGACGGCATCCAGACGGCAGAAGGCAGCAATCACTGCAGGAGGCGAGACAGAGGGCTCGTGGAGCGATAGTTGAAGCCTATGATCGATATCGTTTGGGACTGCTGCCCATCACGATGAGTACGGAAAATAGGCTGCGAGTGGCGGGGGTAATTGTCTCTCACTGCCGAGAAACGGAGAGACTGGTGGATGCGGAGGAGAAGCTCAGGTACACATGGGTGGGATTCTTTGACGGGGGTCACGGGGCAACCCGGGCCCAGGTGGAAGTGGAAGCGTCATCGTTCAGACAATGATAGATGGGGTGGGCATGACCCCGGTGTGGGCAGCAGCTACAGCACTCGGCAGCAAAAGGATGACCAACAATGTGGCGGAGTTCGTCGGGCTACACAGGGTGTTGGTTCATGCGGCAGCCAGAGGATGGAGAAATTTGCACATAGTGTGGGATAGCGAGATGATACTGCGGATGATGAGAAGTAGGAAACCACCAAAATTAGGCAAACTCAAGCACTGGTTCCAAGAAATAGCAGACTAGCAGACATCTGCAGGGTGGCAAGTTGGACGCACCACTACAGGGCGCACAACAAAATGGCGGATTGGCTTGCTAACTACGCGATGGACGGGAGGAGAAGTGCGATGGTGGAATGGGAAGCAGGCAGAAACACGCATGCCATCCACGTGGGCATTGATGCGAGGATAGCAGGCGACATTGCACGGTGGAAGGAGGTAGGGTCGTCCTAAGAAACCGGATACACAAAGCGAATGGAGTGAGGAGAAGGAAGGCAGAGGAACCAGTCGGGACGTAATTGCTAGACTGGAATGGTGATTAGAGTTCATCTCCTGAAAGGGAGATAGTAACACAATAAACCTTACAATTACAAAAAAATGAGATGCAGGCACTCGAGCGTTGTATGGCGCCGGGCGCGAACGAACTTGTTGTCGCATGCGATAGTGACGTTGGGCCCTAGCCCGTTGAGTCCGAATACGCTCCCCCATTGCTTGGTACTTGGAAAGGACCATATCGTAGTGTTCAGTGTCACGAGCACGGAGTGGCATCAGACCTACATGGTAGTTCGTGAGTGCTGTACATAGGCGAGCTACGCTGTCAAACGATTTTCATTCCACTTGAAGGTAGCGTAAGTAGCTTTCCACAGCAAACACATACGACCGAAGAAATTCTCGACAAGAACACGGTCTGCCGAGATCGCCTTGTTGCGTGCGATGTCTTCGTGGTCTAGGGTGCCTCCACGCGGCTGTTTCCGAGGCTGAATGGTACGAAGAACTCGTTCCACTCCTTGATAACCACTAAGACACCCCACATCTGAGGGAATTAAGACGGTTCGCCTCCAGGCACTGAATCGTCCTCCTTCATTAACATTTGACGGTGAATTGAAAGACGATCGAGCATCATAGTAAGGTCCGACCTTGAACCAGGAGCGTGGTCTGACACGTCAACGGCAACACCGGGTGGCGCAACGGAGCACTCGATCTTGAAGCCATAGAGCTTGTGCTTCGCAGAGAAATACACTTTCCGTTCTGTAAAGCGACCCATCGGTCGGTAGGCTGGCTGAAACTTGACATCCGTCGCGTAGAGTGCATGGGGGTAGTTGGAGAACGCGTTACCCTTTTGTATTTGTTTATTCATCTTGACTCGTTCGACCAGCTGGGAGTACAACACGAGTTCGATGGTCTGGATGGCGCGATGTACCATTTTCTCTAGCGTCGACACACCCATGTTGAAGTCAATCGCGTGTTTGTGCCATGTGTCGAAGTGCTTCAGCACTGTCAGCGTGATGAAAAGCGCATCTTTCCCGGAAACAGACGGCTTTCTTCCTCGTCCTTGTGTCCACGCAATTGTTACTGCAGACTCGACGAGAGCCCAGAGAGCATCCAGTTCTGTGAGAAGAGAAGTTTGTCATCCCCTTGAGCGTGTCATCTCCCCCGGAAGCAACAACCTGGGCGAGAGTAGGGGGCTCAGAATCCGACGATTCATCTTCGACGTGGCGGGCGGCGTCACCAAAGTTTTCGTGGCTTGAGGAAAGGTTTGCAGTCTCCTCATCCCACTGGGTAGTGAGGCGGTTCAAGACTTGTGCGGCTGTTGAAGCCATCGTTGTGGGCGGTTCGATTTTGAAAATTGAACGTTGTGCTCGTATTTTGAAGCCTTGCATCGTGCCAAATGTAAGTGGCTGGCATTTAACGAAATTTGAGTATTTTATAGATATAGCTATCTCGCCTTAGTTTTATATAGAATTTTACTCAAGTTATTTGATCTTATCATGGATATGTGGAATGTGCCAATGCACACAAAAAGACAGGGTTATGTACGTAAATTCCGCAACTTAGAATTATTATTGAGCAATAGATCCGAAACTGAACTGTTGCGCCATATACTATTGTACCGTGAATAACATTGTTATTCACGGTACATACCCATAATTCACGAATATTTTACTTTTTGCATCTGTGGCATATTATACCGATATCAAATATTACTAGTATTGGAGTATCTCAATCGCTTTGCTCCATCGAGTTGCTTTGGGGGCGACGATCTTCAGTGGATTCTGCCACTGCAGGCCGCCCTCCCCATCGCTAAATAACTGCTTTAATCTAGTACACTGTAATACATAGCTGAGTGTGGTATATAGGCTATAGCGGCGCTGCGCTCATTGATGATGTATGCTAGTTAATTAGTCAGTTCTCTTCGTGTAGAATTGCGGTCTGAGCGATACAGCTAACTCACCCTTAATTACTGATCAAAATTGACAATTAAGACTCTAAATCAGAATGGCAATGTAGACTAGCTTGTGTGTTAGACGAGGCAAGCGAGCGCTAAACTGAGATAGACTAATTGACTAGCAGATTCCACCTATTTAGTTAGCTTTTATCGTTGGGGCTCAATCGTGTCCCTCCCGTTTAATGGCAATCTGTTCTTCCAGCAAGGTGCCATATATAATATATTATAGCTTCTTTCACTACCGCCGAACTTTGTCCTCAGGTTCTTTAACACAGGATGCTTGGGTTGTATTTAAAGTAAAAGGGTGCCAAACGTGAAGAAAATACGCGGTTGCGTAATGGATTTCCCAAAATCATGTGGAAAACGATGGAGCCGCTTCAAAAGGAGACACACACAGTTATCCATGCGAACTCAAGCGGGTGGTGGAATGCTAAACTTTCACTGGAATATTGCAACACTTTTTTGGCGAACTTAGCTCTACTGATGAGCCAGTGATGCTGATGTGGGATGACTTTAGCGCGCATTGGACGCCTGAACTCGTTGCATTTGCTGTTGAAAAGAATGTTGTATTGCAGTGCATTCCCCCTGGATATACACATTGTTGTCAGCCAACTGATATAGCGTGGAATAAACCTCTCAAAGACGGGATTAGAGCTTCCTAGACAACATTCCTAAACGCGCAGTGCTCAAAGGCTCTAGTGTCTAGCGGGGACAGCTCTCCAAAGCTTACACCGCCAGATCGAAAGCGTGTCCTGTCCTACAATGGCTACACGCAGGCTGGAATGATCTCACTGTGAAGACGATCAAAGGTGGTTATAAACACGTGGGTCTTTTGTTCGATGAGCGCACGGATTTATCAAAAGAAGATGTGGAGGCAGACAAAATCGACGAAGAGCTGGCTAGCACCTTACGAACCTTATCGTGGCTAGATGACAGCGTAGGAGAAGTTTCCTGGGACGACGATGTCGTTGATAGACACATTCACAAAGATTAGACTCAACATTAGTAGCGCAATTGTTGTCCCATCCATAACCAGCACCTTGCACTTTTCCTGATCATTTGATTTGGCGGCTCGAGGTCAACCCTAACCATTCCTGTCTCATATAAGTAGCCAAGAAAATAGAGGTAAGAAATAGATTAAATCAGAGTGCAAAGTGATTATAAATGGGGACTCCGTCTCCAATTAAAATGTTCGGACATAATAAAATGTCCGAATTATGAATTTTTATTTTTTTAAGTATGCGGTTCCTGATTGGTTATACAGTTTTACTACATATCTTTATCGGTATTGGTCAATTCCAATTACCATCATAGGGTTTAGGGTTTAGGGTTTAAAAAAAAGTGTAATATTCGCGAATTATGCAGCTGAGGTGTGGATATCTGTGTTATATCCGGGACAATTCGGCATGGCGCGAACGGCCCTGTTATACATAGTAGTTGTATAGCCCCATATCTAGTCTATATCGCGATATTTACGAACATAACCTTGTGTTTTTGAGTACGATTCACATGCAGGGTACAAGTCAAAAATACACAATAAATGTGTATCATTTCACATTCCTTGTGTCTAAATCTAGGCAGAGCTTGTTCTATCGAAAAAGCACAGGTTGCGCACAAAATATTAACTGTGTCATTTGGAAATCTCTCAGGCCACAAGCCTCATCGACGTAAGTTAGTTGCATCTCCTGATTGTATGTGCAAATCGGCGCGTTGACACCGCCGCTTATGTCTTATATCTTCCAGGAAATGGCGTTTTGCCCCTCACCGCAATGCACACCACCTTTGAAAAATCGATTTTTTATTATCATCTTGACTTCTGAAACCATACCATAAAGCTACCGACTGTGGCCGACATTGGCCGACACATTGGTGATTGGTCAAAAATAGACTGGTCACCGACTGGATCATGCATGTACTGCGATGTTACAAGTTCCATTTCGGCAAAAAGGCATAGTTAGCGATAAAACGTTTGTATTTGTGTTTCACAGAAATTTTTGCAAAAATGAGTACCATTAACGAAGTTAACGAAGACACACTTTTTGCGACTGTTACCTATTGGGCACAAAAAGTAAGTGTTGATCCAAAAATCAAGTCTCGGATTCATGTCTCATAGAACAAAACTTAACACCTAAATTGAAGTTCATCTCAGCTCAATTGTCCTCGCTGGTCATGGCTCGTCGTCTAGCAGCCACGTCAATACCTCCAGCAACTCCTCGTCAGAGACTTTGTGGTCGCTGCTAGCGTCCAGCTCCTCGTCCTCGCCAATGGGAATCACTTCACTGAGATCGCCTCCCCACACGAACGTGCTGGTCGGTTGGGTATCCACACTTGTAGGTGACTGCTCCACCTTCTTGGCCTCGCTAGCCAGCGGGTGACCAAAGCGGATGTGCTGATTCCGCATGTGCCGGTTCAAGTTGCCTGTGGAGCTAAAGGTCTTGTTGCAATTGACAAACTTGCAGCGGCGTGTGGGCGCACCCAAGTGCACGCGCATGTGTCGCTCGAGCTTGTGCTGTGTGGAAAACGTCTTGGTGCAGGCGGGAGCAGGACATGCCAGTGGCTGCAGCTCGTCGCCATGCAGACGGCGGTGGCGCGCCAAGTTGCTGGTGGTGGTAAAGCGCTTGCCGCAGCCGCGAGCAGGACACACGTACGCCTTCTCTCCTGTGTGCGTGGCGAGGTGTTCCTGCAGCGCGTAGCGGCGCGAAAACCTGCGCGGACACTCGCCGCACTGGAAGCTCAAGAACGGCGAGAACGTCTTGCTCGAAGACGAGAGCGCGATGGGTTTCAGTACCTCCGTCGCGAAGCGCGGGGTCATGCTGGACACGAATTGGTACACGGAAGTTGACATGCTTCGGTCGGTTGTGTAGGCTCCTGTGAGGTCAACGCTAAGTTGAAAAATGAGGTGTCAACCCCATCGCACCTGCGTCCACTGCACCCTCTTGGTGCGTACAGAATTTTCAAGCGTCATCTTTCAAGCTCATTTCGGTGTTGCCGCTCCAAGCGTGTCCATAAATGTAAGACTTGGTGAGTCATGATCTTGAGACGAGATGGTGTTCAGACATGCGCAGACACTCGTGTCATGGCGGTCATGACAGTCTACTGTACCTGTTCGCGGAGAAGCAAAATCCAGCCTGGCGTCTACTAAAACTATAATACTACAGTAATTAGCACCATGAAAGTGAAGTGACACCTTTGCTAATTTAGCAGGAAGTGTCACTTCACTCGCGTCCACCATTGCCGAGATGAGAGTGTCTAATACGCTGGCAGTTTTGCCACAGTCCCTTGTCATTACAACAGTCATGAGCACTGGATGTGGTGCTACGGCAGCTTGATTTTCTCGCGTCGCGCGAGCGATTTGCACCAATTTGAAAGCAATTTGAAGCCTGACGACCAAGATGCACAACTGTGGCACACAGTCGTGCATCTCAGTCTGTGGTGTGTTGGACATCAACACCGTGCGCAGAATGGGCCAGCGAAGCCATTTCGAAAAGCAAGCGAGGCTTTGTTTGGTCATATCCACGGACACGTGCTTCAGCTTCGATCAGCGAGCATCAACGCTACAGTACCTGGCCCAAGTAACTTGGCAAGTCAGGACGCGTGCGCAAGATGTGCTGACGAGCTTGATGCCATTTTTAACAAGGCAAAATGGCGTTAGGCTGACGCGGACACTTAGCCGCGAATCAGACTCGCGTACGTCAGGTGGCCGTCAAGACACCAAGCACGCAACACGGAAAGCTGAGCACAGCGGCGTGTTTGTCTTACGTTCATTCATTTTTATGTTTTCCTCTCGTGTATCAATTCCGCAGTCGATCCCAACGTCGTCGGCCTCTTCCATGCTCGAGAGCTCTCGTCCGTCATGGTCGCGACGCGACACCAAGGACACAAGTAGTAACCTACTGCTCCGTCTTCTCCGGCGCCTTGATGGTGTAGGCAGCCGCACCCAGACTGATGAGTCCCGATGCGGCGAAGATGGTGTAGCAGCTCGTGGGGCCGTCCGCGTTGTTGATGAGCTCGGGCTTGTACGTCCAGAGACTGTGGCGCGCCGCGCAGAGCGTGTGGTAGGTCACGGGGAAAGCCACGAGCAGCTTGGAGACCGGCGCGAAGAACGGGATGGCGTCTTGCGCCATGAAGATAAGCGCGGGCACGTCGGCGCCCACGAAACCCAGGGCGCTGCCGCCTACGAACGCCGCGGACATGCCCATAGAGGCGAAACGGTTCGCCACTGACGAGATGGCCGTAACGGGGAACTTGTAGATCTCCACGTGCGGCGAGATGGGGCGACCCAGCGCCGCCTGCGTGGCCGAGTAGTTCTCGGTGCTCATGACGCGCGCGAGCGTCGGCGCCACGCTCGTCGTCACCTTCTTACTCAAAACCTGGACACTCATGTTGCGAGGAATATGCGGACTGGACGGAGCGGCGTGGACGCCAGAAAATCACGTACACCCTCGAACTTTCCTCTCTTGCGAAAAGACATGTGCGTAACAACCGACTTGACTACGTGCTGTATAAATCCACGACGTAGAAAACAATAACCTGTTTGAATACAGATGCACTTCCTAAACTCAAGAATGCGATTGTAGAGGTTCCGGTGGTTCGAATGGGCGAACGTAATTGGCTGGTTTGGCTGCGTTTCAACCAATGATGTGGGGGGAACACAGAAATATTTGTGCGGTTCGTAGGAAAGCTCTATCGTGATGCTGGCTACTACCCTGCGCCGATCGGCGGCTTCCAAGCGCGTACACTCGCAGCTGCAGAGCCAGCGTCGTCACGGCGGATCGCTCAGCAAGAACAAGCACATCGAGGTGTGTCCAACGATGTCTTTTTCCGCTTCAGACGCCTCGGATAGCGTCCTAGTCGAACCCGTTCGGGACGTCTTACTTCTGCGCTTCATACTGACTTTGATTATCGTCTATAGAACTGGAACAACTGGCGAGGAGACTCGGAGAAACGCTTCAAGTTTGACGGCAAATTCTTCACGTCTGTGGCGGCCTGGGGCCTCGTCCCCTTCGGTCTCTACTACGTCTTGGGAGCTGACGAGCGAGTACGTACTGGAATTTGACGTTGCTAATGTGGATTTAGAGCTGCCGTTAACTGACGAGTTACTTCCTAATGTTGCGTCCTGCAGCGCAAGCGCGACCTTCATAACGGCGTCCCGGAGAACTTCCGTCAGTAAACGAGCAAAGGAAGTGGCGGTGTGCGCCAGTGAAGACAACATTGGGTGGTTGGATAAAGCTGTCTAGCTTCTGCTAGATTTGTGTTATTGGCAGAAGGAGGTCGTGGTCGTCGTAGACGCGAGGGTAGTCGAAATCGCTCTTGTCCTTGAATTAATCCAGCGCCTCCTGGCTTCATTGCACCCGTCCACATCGAACATTTTTATACTTTAGTGTGTGCTGTTCCTCAGTTTGCGCATGACTCGTACTTAAGCGCGATGCCATTTTCAATCTGGTGTCCATCTAGTATGCACGACAGTCCACACATAGCGACAGTGGAGGCGTTCTATGCGCGTGTGATCAAACGCGTGTGTTCATCCTATCGAGAAGAGAATGAGTTTATACCTGCAGACGAAGCCATCAAGACATTGCAACAGGTTCGTCGTTCTCAGTAAGTATGGGCCAAGTCTCAACGAACTCTTTGCTGTAGAAATGGCAGGAAAAATTAGCGCTCT